CAGTGAAAGGAAAGAAGTATGTAAGAAAATTAAGGGTCCTGAAGAAATTAAAAAGAAGGCACACCAGTCCAGTCGGATGCTCACCCACCCCTACCACCACCTACCATTGTCCATTAAAGGAGTGGCTCTTACTAATCTTCAGAAGCAAACATTATTGAAAGAAGAGCTCTATTCATAAAATGCTCAGGCATATAAATAAATCAAATGACACACAAAGCTACTTTAAGAGAATTACAGAAAATGTGAATCAATACATTTCCACTGGTTAAAAAGTCTTCCCCTAAAAAGCAAGCACAAAACAAATGGAAACTGTATTATAATGCTCCAACCAAATAAAGTATACTCAAACAAATTTGTGGACAAACTAATAGGGCATTGATGTAAGTAAGGGGCATTGACAAGAAAGGAAGGAAAACAAGCAAAAAAAAAAAAAGAAAAGAAAAGAAAATGACATGCAGAAAGAAATAAAAAAAACTTCAGAGAGAAAGCAGGTAAAATGTATATAAAGGCAAAGGAAGACCCAACTAATGAAAGTCCCCATAGGAGAAAAAGAATCAATGGAAAAAATCCTAAAGAACTCACCCCAAAACTACTTAAACTAATAACTGAATTCAGCAAAGTTGAAGGATATAAAATTAATACACACAAATCTGTTACATTCCTGTATACTAACAGTGAACTAGCAGAAAGAAAAATCAGGAAAGCAATTCCATTTACAACTGTATCAAAAAGAATAAAATACCTAGGAATAAACCTAACCCAGGAGGTAAAAGACCTCTACCCTTAAAATCACAAGACACTCATAAAAGAAAGAAGATACCAACAAATGGAAATACATCCCATGCTCAAGGATAGGAAGAATTAATATTGTCAAAATGGCCATCCTGCCCAAAGCAATTTACAGATTCAGTGCAATCTCTATCAAAATACCAACAGCATTCTTCAATGAACTAGAAAAAATAGTTCTAAAATTCACATGGAACCACAAAAGACCCCAAATAGCCAAAGCAATCCTGAGAAGAAAGAATAAAGCTGGGGGGATTACACTTCCCAACTTCAAACTCTATTACAAAGCTACAGTAACCAAAACAATTTGGTACTTGCTCAAGAACAGACCATAGATCAATGGAACAGAATAGAGAACCCAGATATAAACCCACACATATATGGCCAATTAATATATGATAAAGGAGCCAAGGATATACAGTGGGGAATTGACAGCCTCTTCAACAACTGGTGTTGGCAAAACGGAACAGCTGCATGTAAGAGAATAAAACTGGATTATTGTCTAACTCCATACACAAAAGTAAACTTGAAATGGATAAAAGACCTGAATATAAGTCATGAAACCATAAAATTCACAGAAGAAAATTTAGACAAAAATCTTGAATATAAACATGAGCAGCTTTTTCCTGAACACATCGCCTCGGGCAAGGAAAACAAAAGCAAAAATGAAGAAATGGGACTATGTCAAACTAAAAAGTTTTCTGTACAACAAAGGACACCTTCAGCAGAACAAAAAGGCATCCTACAATGTGGAATATATTTGTAAATGACATCTGATAAGGGGTTAACATATAAAATATATAAAGAGCTCACACACCTCAACATCCAAAAGCAAATAACCCAATAAAAAAATGGGCAGAGGAGCTGAACAGACAGTTCTCCAAAGAAGAAATTCAGATGGCCAACAGACGTGAAAAGATGCTCCACATCACTAATCATCAGGGAAATGCAAATTAAAACCACAATGAGATACCTCACACCAGTTAGGATGGCCAATATCAAAAAGACAAGGAACAACAAATGCTGGCAAGAATGCAAATAAAGGGGAATACACTGCTGGTGGGAATGTAAACTAGTTCAACCATTGTGGAAAGTAATACGGAAGTTTCTCAAAAAACTAAAAATACAAATACCATTTGACCCAGGAATTCCACTCCTAGGAATTTACCCAACAATAAAAAGATCCCTGATTCAAAAAAACATATGCACCCCTATGTTTATCGCTGTACTATTTGCAGTAGCCAAGAAATGAAAGCAACCTAAGTATCCATCAATAGATGAATGGATAAAGAAGATGTGGTTACATATACACAATGGAATATTATTCAGCCATAAGAAAGAAACAAAACCTACCATTTGCAACAACATAGATGGAGCTTGGGGGTATTATGCTCATTGAAATAAGCCAGGCAGAGAAAGACAAATACCAAATGATTTCACTCATTTGTGGAATATAACAATAAAGCAAAAATGAAGGAACACAACAGCAGCAGACTCACAGACTCCAAGAAGCAACTAGCGTTTACCAAAGGGAAAGGGTTGGGGAGGGTGGTTGGTGAGGAGGGGTGATTAAGTGGCATTATGATTAGCAACATAATGTAGGGGGGTCACAGGGAAGACAGTATAGCACAGAGAAGACAGCAGTGACTCTCTAGCCTCTTACTGCGCTGATGGACAGTGACTGCAATGTGATGTGGGGGGATATTTGATAATATGGGTGAATGTTTTAACCACACTGTTACTCATGTGATACCCTCATAAGATTGTATGTCAATGATACCTTAATAAAGACAATTTTTTAAAGAATCAATGGCACAGAACTAATTATTAAACCATAATCCAAGGAAACTTTCCAAAAATAAGAGTACTACTAAAATCTACTTCTTCAAAGGGCCCACCTTGGACAAGTTGAGTTGTAAACTTAGATTTTAAAGACAAGTAAAACTATTATATTTAAAGACAAGTTTTTTTTCTGGGCCTTCTGGTTGTAGTAGGGAGATTATGCTACTAATAAAAGTATATTAAGTTTATATCAGACTTCTTAAGAATACACAAAGCAAGGCTACAACAGAGTAGCATTTTTACAAACTTGGGGAAACAAAGTTAAAAGTTAGTCAACCTGTCAAACATCAGGGCTATAGATAAACAGTTTTGAGCATGAAAGAATTTAGGAAATATTTAATGAGAATTTAATTGTAAATCCAAGTCTAAAACAGTGGTGGGTACATGAGTGTAATTGTTACATGTTCTGTCAAAGTAAAAAGAATAAAACTAAAAGTGAGTGAAGAAGGGGAAAATAGAATAAAGTCATTCCCTATTGTATAAGTAATAAGTGGGAGTTATAGGACACTACATAAAATGGACTGGCCAGATAGTAAAAGCATAATGAATTAAAGGGATTTAGGATACGCTTACATACATACATACATATAACACATGCAGTTTGTGAAAGTAACTGTTAGAACAACAAAAAAAAAGCCAGCTAGAGTAAAATAAAAAGAATTAAGTATGAATAATAAAAATAGTGAAATGGTAGAATATAGAATTCAGGCATGTTGGTTATATCAATAAATATAAATGAGTTTAAATCACTGAAAAAAAAAAAGGATTTCAGAAAGCAAAATCCAGTTCTATGCTGTATACCAGAGATACATCTAAAGCAGAGTGTTTCCAAAAGGTTAAAAATAAAATTAAACTCAAACAATAAGAAAGCTGGGTTTAACAATCTCAATAAACAAAGCAAAATCCAGACAAAAAAAAATCACTGAGCAACATATGGATATGCTTTATAATGTTAAAAGCCATAATTCACTGTAAAGTTATAACATTTTTTAGTATCTATGCACCAAATAGCACACTAAGCACCTAAATATAGCAGAATTGCTGTAGCAGAATATAGGATAATGGAAAAAAAAAAAACACATAATGGAAGATTTTTAATATATCACAGTACAAGTCTCCTATAAGATGTTTCAGGATCATCTAGTAAATTTCCTGTCCCAAATCTGAAATTATCCATTTCTTCCAGGACTTTTGGTTTCTTTTAGTGGGAAATGATAGAGAGCATGATCTCTGTCTGTCTCAGGTGGGCTCACTTACACTGGTTTGGTCTTTGTTTCTTAGTGGACAAAGCTTAGGAGATTTTTAAAATAGAAAATACATTGTTCTTGCTGAAATTTCTAATTGAAAATTTAAATTGCTGTTTTTATTTCTTTGATTTTTATATTTCTCTTTTTTCTTGTGCTAAAAGTCTTGGTGTTTAATAGTTTAATAGTATTAACAACATTAATCATCTTAACCTATGCTTCAATTTAGCAGTACCAATATTAATACAATTATCAGCAATTACGTTGCAAAGGATTTAAGATATGTTTGCAGCTCTTTTTGTCCAAAGGCTATATCCTATCATGTATGTACAAATTTTACTGTTTTAAATCTAGCTGAAATAATTTCCCTGTATATGATGAAACTACCAAATCTATACAATTTATTTCATTTTGCTTTTTATTTTTAGGGTTTTGTTATTTCCATTTTAGTTTTGCTTTATTTTTTAAAAATTTTAAAGGATTCAGGATAGCTAAGCTGACAGTTATGGTTTGTTTTAAATAATAAATATTTAAGCAGATAAACATACAGCAACTATAAAAGTCTTAGATTTATAGGAATAGTGTTTAAGCAAAGAAATGTTGACTTATTCAAGAAAACTTTTCTCAATTTTTTTCTAAAATGTGATGAATTACTATAATTATGTGTTTCAGTTATTCCTGTATACTAACTGAGAGCCCAGAACCTTCAAGGCAGCCCAGAAATGTGCAATATACTACCACACATAATATTTCTAAACTACTTCTCGGAATGTCTACCAATATTTTCTAAGACATTGGAAAGACCAAAGCCTTGCATAGAACTAGCCTTCACCCTTTAGCCTACCAGTTTTGTTTACTCAGGACCTTGGTTTATGTAGATTACTACTCATCTACCATTCTAATGACAAAATAATTTTTATCTATAGTATTTAATGCAAGTAAACTTACATGCTGTAAAAAAATTATATGTTGCAGCTTAAAATCAAACATTTAAAATTTTATGATTCTTTTGAGTCATGATAGTCTGTTTTCGCCACAGTAGTAGCGAAATGCAAAATTTTAATTGCTTAGCCTCTTTGTGGGAGTTTGGGTCCTAATGTATAATTAACTCTGTGATTCTCTCTTCAGAGGCTGATAAAATACCAGTAATGCGTGGACAGTGGTTTATCGATGGTACTTGGCAGCCTCTAGAAGAAGAAGAAAGTAATTTAATTGAGCAAGAACATCTCAGCTGTTTTAGAGGTCAGCAGATGCAGGAAAATTTTGATATTGAAATATCAAAATCCATAGATGGAAAAGATGGTAAGAACAATTAATATATTTCATATGTTCTGTAAATCAACTTGGTTGATAAAATTTAGAGTAGTTCCTAAGTTTGACAAAGTAGTTCAGGAGTGTTTGAATTTATAAAATCTCTGATTATTTAAACATTTTATTATTATTTTCAAATTAAAACTGTTAATGAATTTTTTAACTATCTCAATATTTATGTTTACTGGCATGACACTAACATTGTTTACTATAAATGTACAAATGGTTATAGTGTGCTTTCTGAATTAGTCCTGTTCAGCATTTTTTAGTTGTCAAAGAAAATTGAACTTACAAAAAAAGTCCTGTTATTATATCAAAAGAGCAGTTTTGTTAATATTGTTAAATTGGTTCTTTTCCTGAAGTTTAAAAGAAACTTTAATTGAGCCCATATTGATAACCACATAAACTTTTAATTTGAAACAACCTGTTCCTTATATTTCCTTATTCTGTATTTGGATTGTTTGCAGTAGCTTAAAATATTTAAAGAACAGACAAAATTGCCATGTTTCATCATATATCTGATTTTGAGTAAAATTCAAAATGTGTGGTAAAGTTAAAAAAACTTCTATTGTTCCATTTACTGCAGGCAGTGGGATCAGCTATTCTGGTGAGTATAACAATACAGGTAGATTAGAATTCGTAGATATCTTTTTTTTTCTAAAAGTGTTTCTTCATCTGTGCCTGCGTTTATTTGGGACGTTTCTTGGCAAGCCATATAGTGAATTAAGATATGAATTAAGTGACTTTTTTTCTTCCCATTGTTAAAGCATCTCCAAAGCAGAAAAAATATTGATCAAGTAATTCACAGAATGCAACTTGGAAAAAATGAATTATGTGGTTGGAAATAATTGTTTATATAACAATTAATGGCAAAACAATAAGCTTTATATTGGCTTATTTTTTTTCTTATTGTTAGTAACATACCAAGTCTTTTCTCTTTTATCTCTCTTTAAAAATACACACACACACACACACACTTGGTACAAGCAAGGAAACTATGTAGTTTAGTTTATACCAAAATAAAATATCTTTTGTGTCTAGTTGGTTAAAAGTCTACGTAACTGAGGAAAATTTATGGCCTTTGAATAAAATGGCAATTAAATCTAACATTTATATAATAATAATTGTCCATTATGTATTAGGAGTTTTCAGTAGCTCATTTTCCTATTCTATAGAGTCAGATATATCCTAATCTCACTTGAAAATTTAAGCTCAGGGATTTTACATATACATAAGGGCAGTTTGGTGTCTACAGAACAGAGCTATTATCTACATTCCTGCAGATTGCTGTAGAAAAATACTCTGTCTGGTTATAGCACAAATAGCAAGTTTTATACATGTGATCTTTTATTAGTGACTGAAATATTTTGTAACTCTTATCACCTCTCATCACCACTACTAAAATAATCACAAAAGCCTACTTCATAGTATTTGAAGGACTGACTTTTTATTATAATTTCATTGCTATTAAAGAAAGCTGTATTCTAGATTTTTCCCTTCTATTCATGTCTCAAAAAAGACAATTCACCTTAACAAATCCAGTTTCAGCCACCCAAATTATTTGCTATTAATGCATGAAAAATAACCCCAAGAGCTGAAGGAGAAAAAGAATGAATATGAATGAATAAAAATATAAGTACATTATTCCCCTTTCTCATACTATATTGGAAACATTTTTTTTCCCACTTTTTAATTCAGCCTGTGGAAGTTATTCATCAGCTAACTCTCTCATAAAAGAACATGATTTATTTGTATGAGTGGATTTTTACTATATTTTTTCATGTGTGTGTGTCTGTTCTAGAGTATCAATCTAGGATATTAATATTTTTTGCTAGCTTTAAAGATACACATTGAGTGGCAAAATTCTAATTAGTAATAACAATTACTAATTGTTAAACTGCTAAAAACTTTTGGTTTGCAGTCTTTCAAAATGATTCATTGAGGTTCATTAAAGAAAAATTGGTATTATAAAATATACTGTAGCAACAGGTAAAGCTTCAGCATGTTTTCGTATTAATATCAATTTAGTATTTACTGTTGTCATAAATTTCCAGCCATTTTATTCATCATTCAGTATAATGTAAAACATACACTCATGTGTTTAAGATGTGACTTTTAACATTGAAGATTATGGAAAATTTTGTAGTAAATTTGGAAGTTATCATTGGTCGTAAGGAAAGAACATTTGCTGTCCAAAAAGCCACCAGTTTTGGAAAAATAACTAAAATTTACCATTATCTGCAAAGGCAAAAATTACAATCTTTTGGTTGTTTTGCTTCTTACTTGCAAGCTTCTGGGATTTCATACTTTATTAACTTGACGGGGAAGACATAACTTCAATTTCCCATGTACGCATGATAGAGCCTTAACTCTTCATATTGTCTGATTCTGAATGCTTTCGTGTGCAGACAGCACTGTGTTGGTAGGCTTTTGTGGAAGAAGTAAACAGTGTGTTTGACCCTCAAGGAGTCTTAAACCTGTTGGGGAAAACAAAGCCTACAGATAAGACCAGTTACAAAGAGCAAGTACAAGGTAACACAGTAGACAGTGAATATTATACATTCTGAAAAGAGATTTGGAATTAAAAAGATTTTACCACAGTGCAGTGGAGTTATACAAGTGAGGCTTTCTGGAAAAATCCCGTTTAATAATTAAAAACATTTTAAAATGTCATAGTCAAGGACTCTAAAGTACTCTAAGAAATTTCTAAGAAACTAAACAGAGTTCTTAAAGGACATTGAAATAAAATAATTCCTTTTCTTTTTGACCTTATCTGTATTTTGGTTAGGGTAGCTTTAATGTATTTGGATGTGTTTAATATTTTCTCCTTATTAATTTTGTTGCTAATCTCAAAGTAAGCATTGAGTTAAATAGGTGGATGATAGTCTAGCATAATATTTTTAGCATACAACTAAAGATAACCCACAAAATTATAATCACTTCTTGTGGTTTAGATATTTTAATCTAAATTTCATTTCATCTGAGAGTTAAAAATTGATTCTCTTCCCACCACACCTCCTAAGCAAGAACACATTTATCTAGAAGGCTAATAAATGAAAGCTTGGAGTTTCACGGGATGAATCGTACAAATAAAATAGGCCTTCAAATAAATAATTTTGTAAATATTTAATCACAGTACCAGATTAGTGTTTCATGCATTTTATAATTTGTCTATCTAAGCACTAATCAGTAAAAACAGGTAAACTAAATGAGTTAGGCATGCACCTCACTCTGGCCAAAAAGTACATAAACTAAATCATGAGAAAGCATCAGATAAACTCAAATTGAGGGACATTTAATGAAATAACTGATTATTACTCCCCAAAAGAATCGGTTATTATTAAGTAGATGGGAGAAGTCCTTTCACAATGTAGTATCAAATCACTACAAGGTACACTTCAAACATCTTGTGCTCCTTTCTAGTTATACCTCAATAAAACTGAATTTTTTTTTAAGCGTCAAGGTCACGAAAGAAAAGGAAAGATGGAGGAACGACACAGTTTAGAGGAGACTAAGAAAACATGATATGTTTAAGATGTGACATTTCACATTGTGAAATGCAACATGGTAACCTGGATTCAGTACTAGAACATAAAAAGACAGAAAACTGGAAAAATCAGAATAAAGTCTATTTTAGTTGATAGTATTGTCCAATGTTAATTTCTTAGTTTTGATAATTGTTTTATAGTTATTCTAACATGGGAAACTGGATGAAGGATATATGGTAACTGCTGCTTTTGCACCTTTTCCTTAAGTCTAAAATCATTCCCCAATAAAAAGGTTTTTCTTAAAAAGGCCAGTAGAGGAATTAAAGTAATAAAAATTATTTAATTAACCCAAAAGAAATCAGGAAAGCAAAATAAGGAACAAAATATAGTTGACCCTTGAACAACATAGGTTTGAATTGCCCTCATCCACTTACTTATACGTGGGGTTTTGTCCAGTAAATATATTGTAAAAAGTTTTTCAGATTTACAACAATTTATTTTCTTTTCTCTAGCTTTGTTGTAAAAATACAGTATATAACACATGTAACATACAAAGTGTGTGTTAATTCATTGTTACCAGTAAGGCATCTGGTCAACAGTAGACTGTTTGGTAGTAGTTAAGTTTCTGGGGAGTCAAAAATTATATACAGATTTTTAACTCCATGGTGGATTGGCACTCCTAACCCCCACGTTGTTCCAGGGTCAACTGTACAAATGGAACAAAGAGAAAATAAATGGGAAATGTTAAACCTAAGTTCACCCATATCAATAACTACAGTAAATGAAGTGAACTAACACTCCAGTTAAAAGTCAGAGATTGACAGATGTGTTAGGAATGCAGTCCCGACTGTACTTGTCTACAAGAGTCATGCTGTCAATATAAAGTCCCAGATAGATTAAAATTAAAAAATGGACTTTTTATTGTTCAAGGTAATTTGGGGTTTTATGACAGCACACGTCTTAGTGGATCTGGAGGGATTTACAGCTTTGAACAATTTGACTTGACTTATATTGTAAAGTGTGTATTCCCATTACTATTTTTGGATAGGATATTCCAAACTGTGAATATAGAATTTCAGAAGGCAAAAAGATAGGGGAAGGAGTAGAAGAGGGGAGGATTGCTAATCCTTCCTAACCAGCTTTGCTTTTCCTCTCATTGGTGACTGAGAGGATTCCTACCTTTTAGCTTTTAGTCATTTGTTTAAATAAATTTATCTAACTTAATTTTTCCAAGACCCAAGAAGACTGCCAGTTTTCTCATTATAGATAGCAGGTTTAAGGTGTGCAAACCTGCTTCCTCTGAAGTTGAGGTTATTCCAGGTTGTCAGCTTTTATGAAGGAAAAAGGTACTGAGTTATTCTATTCCAGGGATTACTATGTCCCTAGAATAGCAACCCCCTTTTTTGATACTCTTGTTTTCAGAATTATATAATAAAGAAAATTTCTTTTAGAAGCTGAATTAACAAGGAAATTTATTGGAAATATTAGGAAGGAAAGAACTTGGCTTGGTGTCTCAGGGAAGTCAGATACAGTGCAACAAGAAACCAAGTCAAGAAAGCAAAGTAAATTTTAATACATTCTGCATAGAGTAACGAAGTGGGCCTGCCTAAGTTGAGACAGGCCTGGATGCTCATTTTGAGGCTTCTTATATGTGGTTTTGGCAGGGCAGAGAGAGAGGTCCTTGACTGACAGCTGTCAGCTCTCTAGGCTTGTTCTGATTGGTGTGGTGAAATGAGTACGGGCTGTGCTGTGCCTATGCTTTTCATGTTTCTTATCTGGGGGGACCCTGGACATTTCCTGAGTCACTCTTGGACCCTGTGGCTTCATCTGATTAACTGACTCATTTCTGGCTCTCTGGCTCTATCTGATCAACTCCCTGAGTTGTCTTTGGGGGGCCCTCCTTTTCATCCCACTCATTTCTGTCTTTCTGCCTAACAGAAATACTATATTTTAGTACTGTAAATCATTCATTATTTAAGACTTTAATATATAAAAACATTTTAATTAATGTTAGCATTTGGTAAGTTAGCATGCTTAGCTGCATATTGACTTTATGCATACTTGTGCTAACACTGCATGAGAAATTCTAACTAAAACTTTTAGAAAAAGAGAAAGTTAAGCAATGCTTTCTTGCACTTGAATTGATCCCCATTTGTATTGACAGTAAACCCTTTTGTCTCTCCTCTACTTATGATAGTACCCCAAAACCTGTGCTTTGTGTTGAAAAAGCAAGCTCTCGAACTATGCTACAGAATGTTATAACAAATAAAGCAAGTGACTTTCAAGTGTAAATATTAAGTTTGAGAAGAAGGTAAAGAACCATGTCTATTATTTGAAAATGTTTTGAATAAATATGCTTCTCTGTATTTAGTTGATTGTGTTGTTTTTTAATTCCAAAATTACATTATTGCTTTAGAAAGAAAAGTCTTTTATTTTTGTGTCTTGATTACCTTTCTGAAGGTGTATAATTTTAAAGTATGGTCAAATGGTCAGTATGTTTCCCATAAGTTCTCTTTTAGTAATACATAGTTTGGTTTGTGTGGGTTTTACTAGTAGATATATAAAACCTAGGCTTTGTTTCTTGAGTAATAAAGTATCAAATTTATGCCAGTTTGATCTACTTTGATGTTAGTTTATTCATAATCAGTTTTTTTTAATGTTTCCTGCAAGTAGTACATCTACATCTACTTCTCAATAACTGACCAGAAGGCATGAAAGAAATCTTTCCACCCCTCTTTGACAATGAGATGTTTTTTAATCCTGATGTTAAACAACCTAGCTTCTAATCCTAGTGTATAGTTTTTTATAGCCATCTAAGTACATATAATCGTAGATATTAAGTCCCTCATAAGCATTTCTCAATTACCTTTATTGCACAAAATTTTTAATATACCTCATTTGCACATACAACAAATTTTTTTGTATTTCTATAGTGCTAACAGGCATTAAAAATATATATATTTGAGCAGTATTTAACCTTTGAATGCCACATTAATAGAAGGGAGTGAAGATGAAAACCAAATGTATTAGAACATAAATTTGAACAAAATCATAAAGGTTCTGCGGTTCATTAATTGAACTGTTAAGAAACCAACTTAAAAGGTTTTATTTCAAGTAGATTTTAAATAATTGCTTACTTTAAATTAATAAGTGTATTGATTTATAATTAGCAGTGTTTGTCAGGGAAAATGTTGACTTTAAGGTTGTCTACTGATTTGCCAAATATCAAGCCTATGTATGGCTTTATGTTTGTTTCATGCTTACAAGATAGAACCATATACATTTTTACTAATGACTTTTTTCATTATTTTATCCCTAACAAATCATTACTTTATCACTATTGAATCAGTTAGAAATAGAGCTTCTGATTTTTTTTTTTACAAAACTAATTTTTTAACATCTTGAACAGAGTTGTGAAAAGAATATTTCTGTGGGGAAACTCCATTAATACATGGGAAACATCTAGTGGAAAGTACACTGTGATATCTGCTCAGGAAAGCTGCATTAGATGTTTATGATGTTATTTGCTGCATTCTCAGTTTTGCACATCAGCTGTTGGCTATGTCAGGCTCACAAATTTGTTAAGAGTAAATAACCTTAGTATTGTAAAGATGGGGTTTATAAATCTCTTACATATACAAAAATACCATGTCTTATTTTTTTATTCTGTCTATCCAAAAAAATTAAAAATGATGATCACATAGTTGCCTTTAACTGGTAAATTTAGATATATTTGCCTTTTTTTCTTTCAGTAAAAGAGCATGTATTCGATAAACATTATTAAACTAATGTTTTGCTTTACTGATTTTTAATTAGAAATTACATAAATAAAGCATTTAGAATAATGTTTGTCAAATACAAGTCTTTAAAATTACCGCAACAAAAAGGCAAAATAGCAAACCTCATTTAAAATTTACTTTGAAGCTCAGTGTTTTTGCTTTCTTAGTTGTCTACCACCTCCCTCCCTTCTCCCTCCCTTCTCTGTTCAAATGGAGAGGATATAAGGAGAGTACAGATGCGACAGGTCTTAAACGAAAGCGTTCCCAAGGTACAGTAATTGTAGTTTTATTTCTCCATGTAGTTATATTCCTGGCCTGTAGCATTTAGCTGTGTTTATAGCATTCCTTTGTATTTAAAGCATAGAAATTATTAGTTTTTTAGAATTGTATCCATTGTGCTGTTTTACTTAGTGTTAATTATAAGTGGTATAAACATTTGTAAACAGTGTGTATAGTCTAGTAATGGGATGTTTGCCAGTGTTGATGTTTTACTTTAAGACAGTATGTGGATAATTTAAGGAGGAACAAATTTTGTTGGCCTAACACTGTTATCTTAATATCTTAGTCTTCTAGTTTTAGGGTTTTAAGCAACAGCTCACAACTATTTTAAGAAAAATATGGTCTATAAACATTAGATGAAAAGGCTTAAAATAGTGACTTGGATCAAACATGTAATTAGAAAAGTCAGTAATTGTTAAATTCTTGCCAAAAATTATTTTAACTTACGAGAATTTTTTATTTAATAAGCCGAGTTTATAAATTGCTGTCTTTGGAACTCAAGATAGTATTAATGTTTATGTTAATGGCATCTTGGTCTTGTGTCCAATATTAGTAATGTGTCCTGGTAAGTAAGTAAACTATAAATTGGTTTTTCATAAATTTTTTAAATTGCATTTGTAACATAACTAAGAAGTACATTTTCCTGGAAAGGATTTACTTTTCTATATATTCTACTGGGCAATAGTTTTCATTAAAATGGCTTATGACCTGAGGTCCTGACCAAGACTATATCCTAGCATATTCAGATTGAGGTTATTTTCAACCCCTCTTCAAATCAGAAGATTTAGGCTCTGGCAGAACTCGCTTTGTGGCCATATATAATGGGTGATAATATTTTGCTTTAAGAGGATAAAAAGTAAATCAAGCATAGTGATTTGAAAGTGCTTAATTCTCTAAAGATAGGTATTTGAATTTTTCTTTCATCTGTATGATAGATACAGAGGAAAAGTTCAAGGTCCTTAACTATATAAGAATTATCAGTATGAATTAATTGATAAATTATGACATTTTCTTAATCCATTGCTTCCACAAACATTACTGAATTTGATACATGTCAGACACTGTGCTAGGGCACTGTGCTTGGTGCTAGTAATATAAAATGATCAAGACATAGTCCCTGTCTCATACAGCTTATATATTCCTAGAGCATCTATGTTTGATTTTTTATTTTTAGAGCTCATTTTCACCAAGCATACCTCAGAAATGCAGTAACCGTACTGATTTTGAACACCATAATAAGAAAAAGTCTTTGATTTCTAATTAAAATGTCTCAACTTTGGCCTTCTGTTATAGTGAGCAATATTCAGTGATAACTGGCTTTAATATCCATTCCAGAAATAACTTGCATCTAATAAATTATTCTCTTCCCAGTTTAAAGGTAATTTTTTTCCCTCTGAGTCTTGTTTCATCTTGCAGTAAGTGAAATTTTCACCAATCCAAAAATAAAGTCAACAAAAGAAAGGGGACTTAGGTTTCTGTGTCAAAGCTCTTGAGGACTTGCATCGAAGTATATCTCTCTTAGATCTAAAGAATGGTCACATTACCTGAGAAAGCAGTTCTTTAACAATCAAAACATTAGCTATGTGTTAGAACTTAAAATTATAGTAGTTAAGCCAGTTATTCCATATTCTAACAAGTTGCCATTCCCTGATAGTATGGTTATCATTATAAAATAAAGTCCCTATTCCTTGCTTCACATCAATATATGTTTCAGTGAAATAGTTTATTAAACTGAGTTCAAGTATTGATTCAAAAGTCTGTGTATTATATTTTTTCACAAGTGAAGTTTGTCTTGGAGACCTTCAAATTCATTTTTCCTTTTCTTACAACAGCTATTCATAGTTTTAAGTTGAGTCGAAACCATGTGGACTGGCACAGTATGGATGAAGTATATATCTATAGTGATGCAACAACGTCTAAAATTGCAAGAACAGTTACTCAAAAACTAGGATTTTCTAAAGGTAATGTTAAATGTTATTATAGTTTGTCAGAATTTTGGGAATCTGACTTTTTTCTTGTATTCAAGATAGACTGCTCAAGTTGTATTTTTAGTATATTTTAAATATGTGTTAACTTTAGTGGCAGTTAACTGCCCTGTTAAAATTTTTTCTTTTCTTTTCTTTTTTTTTTAGATAATTATTTTTTATTGAAGGGTAGTTGACATATAGTATTACATTAGTTTCAGGTATACAACACAGTGACTGAACATTTATATACATGATAATTCTAGGTACCAGCTATCACCATACCAAGTTGTCACAATATTTTGACTATATTCCTTATGCTATACATTACATTCCGGTTACTTACTTATTTTACAATTGGAAGTGTGTACTTTATTTTATTTATTTATTTTTTTAAAT